TATGTCTATCAGATTTAAAGAAATTACTTCCTTGGGTGACTTAGCAAGATATTTGTTGAAGATACATAACACAGCTTTTACATCACACGATGTCTTAGCATCAAGAGGACAAAGAGGTCCCCCACCCCCGGAATGTCTTGGTTGAAGAGAAAATAAAGAAGGATAAGATTTTGCCCACCAATGTGTTAGGTGACTTCTGTGGTGTTAGGAAAGCTGTCTTAGATGGTAGTAAGAAGAAGACTTAAGAAGATAGGAGGTTGACACAAGAGACACATAGCTCCTTCAAATTGTTCCGTTCCTCTCTTTTAATTGTTCTCATTTTGAGGTCAGATGAGACAACTGTGGCAGAAACTGGGAAAATCACAAGTTATGTTAAGGAGCTAAAAGGTGAACTCTCTGGCTTGGGTATGATGGGAATCTTTGACAGCTCCTGTGAGCCTGGGGCAAACTTGCATAAGGGTCATTAGTCACCCTCTTTCCCATTCTGACTTGTGAAAGGCTTTATTTTTGAAGCTATTTTTAGTTTAGTTTTTAAAAAGACTCATAGATTTCACTAACTTGGGCCCTGCATGAAAAATGAAGTTTACATAGTTTATATTATGTACATAAACTAGTGATTTACATTGATTTACACATGATTGGTGCCTAATTTATTAATCAGCACACAGTATGTAAATGCGCTGAAAGGAAATCAAGATTTTAAAATAAGTTTTCCATAATATTCATAAACATTTGCGCTGTTGTAAATGTTAAGCCTAAACCTAACATTCACACCAGCTTTCTTGCCAAGAGGAAAGTAATGTATATTGCTGGGTGAAAACAAATTCTTTCTTGCATTTTAGTTGGTCACATTTGACAACAGAGCTAAATACAAATGAGAATAGTTTATTTCTCTTCTGCGAGTATGCACATAAATTGCATTTAGTGAGATGTTCAGAGATATTATGCCAACCATGATGAGAAATTTGCATTTTTATCTACAAGACTAGAGAAAGTGCAGTCTTAGGATAACTATCTTAAATGCTTAAGAAAGAAGAGTTACTAAACTGGATTTTTATTTCTTAATTCAAAGTCTTATCTCACCTTTTGTGTGGTACATTGTTTAATATTTATCCTCAAAGTATTAGTAGTTTTTAGTAGGTCAGATATAGCCTTGTGCTGATAGTTCTAAGAAAAAAAGTCAGTTACTGGAAATCAAAACTAAATCTAGGCTAAAAGATTATGGAGATGAAGAGAAAAAGAAGCCATGGTTAATCCCACACAACATGGCTCTTAAGCAAATTCAGTTTAAACAAATAAACACAAGAGTGGAAAAAATAGGACTCTACATCTTTCTAATTGAAACATAGCGTTTTTTTCTTAAGCAAATTCAGCTTTCTTTTTTTAAGTTTAAACCATTATTCTAGATTTGTCCCTTAATACATATAATATTGTAATTATAGCATCTGTAAGGATAAGATTAAAAAATACATACACGTATATATTATTTCTCGACGAATAATTCAAGGCCTGAAAGGAGCAAAATTAGATTTTGGGAGACAAATCAGTAGAATAATGAGCTCCCAACCAACTTGGTGATGGAACCTATGACTCATAATAGGAAGCTAACAATAAGCAAGTAAGTAATAATTCAGAACAATTTCATGCTGAGTAGCTTAATTTTTGTGTGTAAAGGAGGTAAGTCCATTTGTGGAGGAGAAACAAAGTAGTTTCAGTCCTCCAGGAAAATGAAAATCACTAGTTCCTTTATAAGGTCTCTATGAATAGCCCCAGTTGTCAAAATATGGAGTAAAAAATTTCCATGGCAAGTCTGACTTGGAAAAGAGAAGGCAAAGATTATTGGAACAATTCTTTCCTCAGAAAAGACATTGGATTTTCCTGAAGCCTTACTTTTCTTAGGAGAGAGGGAATTTCTATTTCAAAACTAAGAATGTCTTTCCCACAAAGACAAACCTTCTGATGAAAAATGACAGAGGTGGTATAATTCTGCAATTTTAAGACCTACAATTGCTTTCATTCTTCAGGATGCATCCCAGGTCAAGGTCATTTCTGCTTCCCTAACTGAAGATCGTATCTAAGAATTCTGCTAGGTGAATTGGTGGAGTTTTATTTTGCAAGCAAAGACCTCAAATATACTAGCCACTCAGATTAATGCATTTCATTCTGCTCCATATATTGTTCGCATCTTTTCAATGTAAGGATTCAAGCTTTGGTTTCCAATGGACAAGATTATTAAGGGATTTATAGCAAATACTAAATTAAATTTTTAGAAGTCCCATTTTGAGACTTTTGGTAATAGCCCGGGGCTTCTACCTTGTCCTTTATCTTTCTCCAAGCAATATTCTCTCCATTCTTCAAATTGTTTAGAGTACTATTTTTAAACATACAGGATTTGGGGGACTAATATTTGTACTGAAGCAGAAGTCAGGATAAGATTTTTTCAATTTCCAGGTCCTGGTATAAATCTATGCAAACACCACAATATTCAGTGTATGTTTAATGCTGTTTAATATATAGTTATTTTTTAATGCTTAGGGAACAAATGATGCTAATATAACAATGACATTCCTTTCCATAAAGATTACTCTTCCATAAAACCAAGACCTTGTTCTTAAAATATGTTGTAGGCAATAAGAAAGTCAGATATATGAAGCCTGTGACATCAGCATGGATACATTTCTGAAGCTGATACTAAACTGAATTAGGATTCATTGTTTTCTCTTCTTCCCATCTTTATGTTGGCATGCACTTGTCAAAAGCTGCCATTTAAGGGATGGTTGGCTTTTCAGTATGTGGGAAACATTTATCATAAGGATGATAAGCTTTTATTCCCGTAGCAAGAAGACCAAACTGTGAGAAAAGAATCTTGATTGTCAATAAATGATGCTTCATATTTATAGTTTTCTATTTCCTTTCCAATATTTTCTGCTTTGAATAGGAACTTAGATCTTGCACCCTAACCTGTCACAAAAACTCTTACTGATCCTCAATCCCAATTTGTCTTGTTTCAACTCTAAATTGCAACATCATAAAAGGCTAGTGATCAACTTCTACAACAAATAATCAAGCACAGATTAAAAAACATAGCTTTACAAGGAGATCATCATTTTCAAAGGTAAGATTCACTGGAAAGAGTCTTCAACACATATTCTAGATCTTGGCTTCTTTTTTTCCTCTTTCCTCTGTTTTCCTCTCTTTCCTCCCTCCCTTTATTTGTCCTCTCATATTTGGGTATGTGAAAATACTTCAATTGCAACCCTAGTAATAATTCTTTGTCTTTTCATAAATCCAGAAACTTCCAATGCCTTCTACATTCAAAGTGAAAACAATGGTTGGTTTCCTTCCAAAGATCTCCATGAAGAGAGCCATTTCTCTCCATAAAGCCTTTTCCAAGCAAATCCTTCTGATTCTGTGGTGATTCCAAGATTTGTGTTATGCATACAGCTTCTCTCTGAATTATTTCAAGTCCCCCAGTTCTTTTAGTTAAAAGAATTAGGTTACGATTTAGAATTATTGTCAGCGTCACTTCTATAGATGTAAACTTCCTCACCATATCACTCACCCAGTATTTTTCCGGGGACTGAAAGGCAAAAGTGAGCAGGAAGGTCAATGTTACCTATTCCTAGTAGCCTGGCCTTGGATCCTGATGAGCTATTATGATAAAGATGTTGCAAGTGCCATCAAAGGGAAGGAAGATAAGGGCAAGCAAATTAGCCTGGAAGAAAGAACAGCAATCTGCAAAGGAGCACAAGGAATGAATCCCTTCTGCTAGGGTCAATGGCATTAGAACTCTCTGGCAGTGTCTCTGTAAGACGATTAAGAGGATGGACAGCTGTCTCTACTGTTTCTACCTTGCTCACTGTTAACTGAACTTTATCTGAACTAGGAAAACCATCTCTGCTCAAGGGAATCCACAGGGGCAAATACAGTGTTATTCGAAGATTAGGGAGGGGGCAAAACCGGGCTGCTTAGGCTCTCCGCGTGGTTCATCATCCGTTCACGGGGAGTTCGCCCAGGGAGACGGACACCTTCCTGCTTCGGGGGCTTTACTTAACACATGCGACTGATGCCTGCAGCGGAGCAGGACCAAACCTACGAAAAGCCGGGACATAGATGAATCCCTCATGAAACAAGAGTGAAATCAGAAACCTCCTCTCCTCGGTCGCCTCATCCACTTGCTCACCCCATGGATAGTAGGCACTTTCATTTACAGTGATATTCTGAGTGACTCTTGACTGGGTTCTGATGACTGGAGGAGGAGGACGATGAGGTTCTCCCTCGGAAGGGGCACCGCTGGGTTTGAATGCACACTGATGTCATGTGACAGCCGTGAATGGGGGAGGCACTCTGCCCCGGGGTTCCTTGCCCACCCTCTCCCCCCCAGCAACTGGCCACAGCCGCATCTCACAATTACAGTGCGGGACAGTATCTACAGCACAATGAGTCTATGTACACATGGACCATTCCCTTGGCATGCTTTAGAGAGGGACACACACACACACGCTCACACACATGTACACCCACGTGAGAGCGAGCACAGTGGTGAAAATTAAAGTGGCACTTCCTAGCATCTGCGGCACGACGAGCGCTGAGCGGGGCTGGTGGGGGCGCAGGGGAGAGGGTGGCGGGGACCCAGGCAAAGGGACCACCCGGGATGCGGGTGGGGGAGAGGAGAAGACGCTGGAGGTGGACATGGGGTCTCAAAAGTTGGAGTGGGAGTGGATGCAGGAAAGCCAGATAAAGGCTCCACACAGGACGCCAGCGTGGATCTCATTCACAATCGGAAATAGCTACAGGTCAGCTCCAGTGAAAAACAATAGAAAGATGATGGGCATATGGACATCAAAGGCGAGGCCTTCTTATTTTCCTTTTCCCGCAGATGAACCAAAACGAAGGATAAAGAGTGTGTATGGGGGAGAGGGGTCAAGACCCAACTGTTACTTCTGCAAGTGTCTTATTTTTTACAACATCCGAATATCCTCAACACAATTGATCTCTACGCAGCATTGATTTGCTTACATATACATGTAGCCCGTAGAACGTTTCCCACCCCGAATTAGAGTCGATTCTTTATTGATGGATTTGGAAATGGTTGGAAATGTTGTCGTTTCTTCTTTTCCTCATTTCCCCCTTCATTTATGAACACACAAAGTTGTGAAATAAACAGTCTCCCTCCACCTCGCTCTCTCTCTCTCTCTCTTTTCTCTGTTTCCTGTGTGACGCATTTTGTGTGTTTTTTTTAAAATTATTTGAAAATTTTTATTCTATTAACATTTGCTGAGAAGGCAGAGCAGAGACGCTGCCAGCAGCCACAGTGGTACGGCCAGACTGATGGATCCGTTTATTCCTCTCACCGACCCAGGTCCTGCAGTGCAAAGAGAGAAGAAAGAAAATGAGTTAACCTTGGTCCAATTCTCCATCGCAGGCGACTGCAGTGCTATGAGAAGCCAGACTGTGCCAGTGCCTCCAAGTCAGCCTAAGAAAGGCTCCCAATCTTGACTAAGATTGCCTCCTCCTTGAGGTCTGAGTACCTGAAGGAGTCTCATGGGTTGAAACTCTTCTAAGTACGAAACGATTTCTCTGGAGAAATCCTTATGCCGGCTCTCATTGGCATGTCCGCTAGAGCAGCAGGCTGCTCTTCACCCAGCCTCCACCTGCTTTCTCTGCCCTCCGAGCATTGAGATGCCAGCACTCATTAAGATTCCGCGCATTGGGAAGGGTCCTTCAGCAACCAGACACGGGCTGGTCTAGACGATCCATCAAAGCATCTCCATCAATAAAACATGGCACCAATCTGCGACTCTCATTTCTCCAGAGTGGAAAAGTCATTATTTATTTGCTAATGGGAGTTGGGGATTGTTTCAAAATAACAGTTAGGGCTGGGTGGCACCTTAGCTGTAAGGTAGACAACCACTAGTGGAGTGCTGAGAGAGAGCATAGGATCACCTGGTCCAAAGCAGTCACTCAGTGCTTCACAATTGAAAACCAAAGACAATCAGAGTCACAAAAACAAACTCCAGGAAGGTTAAAAGACGGGTTGAAACCAAAGGCAGGATTGAATTTTCCCTCCACCCCCACCCCTGCCAAGGTGTAAGCTTGTGTGTATCCAACAGTGAACCTAAATTTTCTCACTGGGAAGGGTTTGAGGGAATGTGGATAAAAGAAAGAAAGAAAGAAAGAAAGAAAGAAAGAAAGAAAGAAAGAAAGAAAGAAAAAGAAAGAAAGAAAGAGATTGGAATAGAGAGGAAGATCCAGACAAAGTCTGTATGTTCACAGAAAAAGTGGGTCTTACTGAAGTATGTTCCTCTTAAGCTTTTTACTGGTTCCATTTTGTCTTTTATTCTGATACAGATCAATATTCAAAGGGAGGGGGACATTGGTGGGGGGTGGTGTGTTAAGAGATTGCATGAAACCCTATCATTAAAATTATTGTATATCATGGGTACTTAATATTATAAAGTAATCACTGTCACTGTCCTCCCGTTTGTTTATTGATTTGCTCGAGCAGGCACCGGTAACGTCTCCATTGTGAGACTTGTTACTGTTTTTGGCATATCGAATACACCAGTTGGCTTGCCAGGCTTTGCAGTGCGGGCACAATACTCTCGGTAGCTTGCCGGGCTCTCCGAGCGGAGTGGAGGAATCAAACCGGGGTCGCCCTGGGTTGGCTGCATGCAAGGCAAGTGCCCTACTTGCTGCGTTATCACTCCAGCCCCTTTTTATTAAAAAGAAATAAAAGTTTAAAAAGAGAAAATCCATTTTGGCGGTCATTGTGGGCACTTTGAAGTTTTTAAGGAATCTTATGCAAATCAATCAGTGTGACTGAGTGTGAAAGTGTAAATATGTGCGTGTGTGTGTACGTGTGTGTATGTGTATGTGTGTGTGGTGTATTTAACACTATGATGGTTTGCAAGTGCAATGGCAGTATCCTTGGCTATGAGAATGTTTCCAAAGCTATCTACAAACATATAAGCTCAACAGTCAAGTAGCAGGAAAATTGCTGAATTTTAAAAATGTTCTTTTAATCAGATTTATGTAAAATAATGGTAGTAGCGATACATGTAACCAAAGCCAACAATTATACAGCATTTTAATACAAGCTACTGTTACATATGCTTCACAAACTGTGCTTGTCATAGTGGCACATATAGTAAAGGAATGCCAGATATTGTCAAATATTTGGCAAATGGCATTTAGGTATTTTAAGTGCTTTACATTTTTTAATTAATTATTTTTCTTTTGTCATTTGGGCCACAATGTGTTTCTATACAGGGGATTGAAGCACCAGTCTCTCACTCAGGTAAGGCTTTACTGCTCACACCTAAGAGCTGCTCAGTAAATTGGGGACCAGATGTCAGAATCCAGGTCCTGTGTGATTTAGCTCATTTTCTTTTTCATCCACCTGCTCCATGCCCCACCTCCTGACTTTCTGGCTTTTTGAAACTTTTAATGTTGCCTCTTCAGGAAAGTTTCTAGGATTTCAGGTCCCAGTGTTCCTGTCATTTTAGTTGCTCTGAATATAGATGACATGAGCCCAGCAAGCTACTGAGAGTATCTCGCCCGCACGGCAGAGCCTGGAAAGCTACCTGAGATGTAGTCGATATGCCAAACACAGTAACAACAAAGTCTCCAATGGAGACGTTACTGGGCCCGCTCGAGCAAATCCATGAACAACGGGAGGACCGTGACTGTGACCTCAAAATACATTGGAGTTGAATAGTATTTGGGCAAAATGTAAAATTATTATTATTATTATTATTATTTTGCTTTTTTGGTCACACCTGGAAATACACAGGGGTTACCTTCTGGCTATTCACTCAGGAATTTCTCCTGGTGGTGCTCAGGGGACCATATGGGATGCTGAGAATCAAACCCAGGTCGACCACATGCAAGGCAAACGCACTACCTGCTGTGCTATTGCTCCAGCCCCTTATTTTCTTTGAAGACTAGTAACTACTGAAGAAAGCAAAGACATTTGTACAGTACATTATTTATTGCTAATGTATGTACTTTTTAAACAACTATATACAGTGGAATTATATAAATTCTAGTGACATTCATATGTATTCATATATAGGTATATGATATAAACATACTATTAGTTCTCAATACACACAATTGAGACACATATACTACCTTTACATGGCACTTTATGTTCTGTAGGAAATCCCGATATGACAATGTTGATAATCTATAAAATGCATTTTGTGGATCTGTTACTATATCTTCATCTCTATCAATTATTTATTAAGTGCTTTACATAACTATTTGATGTGTTAACATGACCTGCTCTTTTTCATAATTAGTTTTGAGAATAAACAAATAGCCTTGAAAAAAATTGAAATTGTAAATGGGTGTTAGTTGAGGAATCGTCGCAAGTGTGTATGCAATTATAGATATATATTACTGCATGGGAAACTACTTCAGTTAATGGCTATTTCAGGGGAGAATAATCAGCAAAATCATTAATTATGTTTTAGCTCATAGTTATGAAATTTCTGCTTATTTGTGGAAATGCAAATGATAAATCTTATTTTTCATACCAGATGGCCAAGCTCAGCAAGTGCTTTTACATACTGACAGATATAATGAAAGCAAGAGTCTGCAAACATAAATTAGCCTTAAGAATAGATGGGAAAATAGAACCACAATAAAAAATTGGCTACATATTTTTTCATATAACAGACAAATCTTATCTGGTATTTAACTGGATTCTGTGTATGTGCGTTGTGTGTGTGTGTGCATATGTACACACTTTGAGATGTGTAGCCAGAAAATATTCAATAAATGGTAGCAGCATTATTGATATTAGTCATGGAGTTTAACTAGGGAAAGGTATGAAATACTGTGAAGCAAAAGCAGTGATTTGTTGAATTGGGTCACTTTTAATTTTGGATCTGAAGGACAAAATTCAGCTGCAGCAAAATTGGGTGCCTTGAGGCAACAATCCAGGTCAAGTTTCTCATCTCTAGTATAATATGATAGGTGAGATTCTGTAACAAGATGAAAGGTGCACCACATTTTGTAAAGAGAGTGCTAGTAAAGAGGATTTATGCCTAAAAGTGAGAAATATACAAAAAAAAGTGGGCAAATTTCTAGACATAGAAATCTGATGTTGGATCCCACCAGCACAGTCATCTGTCAATAAAATCCCAAAGAAAATACAAGGTGATTCCAACGTCTGCTTAGAGCAAATGCACTTAGAACCTTTATGATTCGAATAATGTTGGCATGTTCTATTACTTTCCTAAGTAGTTAGGGCTCCTTTCCCTGGATTTGAGAGTAGAATATTTAAAACAGTCATTGTTCATGCCCTCGGTGATCTGTGGTCATTTATCCCAGCTGTTAAGGAATCAGAATCAGTGGATTATTTTTCCCCCATAAATAGTTGTCATATATTTAAAAAAAGGACAGAGGGGTTAGCTTGACTTCGTCAAATTCATCAGAGTGATTGAAGAGAAAACAAAAGTAATATATTAAACAGTTGTTAAGCAAAGATAAATAAAAATCCAGATTATTCTAAATCTCTCTTTGATATTCTCTAACTGTACAGGCTAAAGCATGTTTATATACAGGGAAGCCATGTTTAAAGAAAAGACTGATAAGGTTGACTGTGGGGCCACCTACTGTCCAATTTTAATAAGTACAACTTTCTTTGAGGGAATAAAATTAATAGATTAGAGAGATGTGTATATATTAACATCACTGTATCACTGTATCACTGTCATCCCGTTATTCTTCAATTTACTCAAGCGGGCACCAGTAACGTCTCTGTTCGTCTCAGCCTTGAGATTTTAGCAGCCTCTCCTTACTCGTCTTTGACAACAGTGGGAGGCTCTTTCAGGGTCAGGGGAATGAGACCTGTTATAGTTACTGGTTTTGGCATATCGAATACGCCGCAGGGAGCTTGCCAGGCTCTGCCAGTGTGGGCAATATACTCTCGGTAGCTTGCCAGGCTCTCCGAGAGGCATCTATCTATATATATATATATTTCTCTATGATTTGTAGCCTACTGTCTGAACCCCATGAAATATGGTGTGATAATTATGGAAAATGGATAGAAAGTGTCTTATGATGTGTTGCATGGTCCGGAAAGCTGCCTGGAGTGTGGCAGCGGTAGGGTTGAGGTCGGCTGCCGGGGCTGGGTCCCTTGGGGTGGGGAGGGCTTCTGTCCACCCCCCTCTGGGGCTCCCCGAGTGGAAATAGCCTGGCGTGGAGTACATACATAAAAATAAATATATAAACATATATACATTTTTGAGAAATGTCTTAGAATTGAATTTTGTCACCTATTACATAATTCATTACATGGTATTGTTTCCTCTATATCAAGAGAAATGGGTAAAGCTTCATAATTTTCACAGTAAAGTTAAAACGATGTTCCCCATCAAACAACTTCAAGTATTTTGGTATGCATTAAAATTTATTTGAACTCTATAGCAACTTGAGGTGACAAGAACTATAATCACATTGGACTTTAAAACTTGAAAAGAAAAGAAAAAGCCTCTTTTCTATTTTTTCTATTTGTTCTATTTCTTCATTCACATCAAGACCTGAGGTACCATAATCTATTAAAAATAGTCATTTGAAATTTCAGTGTAACTGACAATCATCACACTGGAAAGGGAAAAGGGGTTTAGGATGAGAATATTTCTTCTTTTTGCCCAATGATCACACACACACACACACACATATATATACACACACACACATATATATATATGTACGCACATAGACACATAAATGATATGTGATATATATGATCATATATATCTGTGATATTTTTGTATAAATAAATATGTAATCAGGTTTTTTTTCTTGCTACATTCTGAGGATTTGTGAAAAATGGGCTGTAATCAATGTCCTCTCCAGAGGGCAACACACTATCCACAATTTCTGTGACTTCTGGTCATTTGTCCAGTTTAAGAACAGGCTTTTGTCTAGCATAAGAACAAGTTTTACTGTTGAGAATGATCTTAGTTGCCTCATATACTCTGAGGCTTGATGAAGACATCTTCATACAAGACAATTTCCAGTCCAAGTGGGAGGCAGCAAGTGATTAAGGATGGCGGTGCTTGGCTGTGCAGATTTATCTGTGGCTCTTGCTCAGACAGACACTCTAGGGGGTTCTATTGAATTGTAAAGACTTTGTCAGTGATCATTGTTTGTTGCTTTGGGTTCATGGTTTGAAGTTTTGAACTTGCAGATCAAAACCACAATGAGATACCATCTCACACCTCAGAGACTGGCCCACATTCAAAAGAACAAAAGCAACCGATGCTGGCGTGGATGTGGCGAGAAAGGGACACTCCTTCACTGTTGGTGGGAATGTCCACTGGTTCAGCCCTTCTGGAAAACAGTATGGACGATTCTCAAAAAATTAGAAATTGAGCTCCCATTTGACCCAGCAATACCACTCCTGGGAATATATCCCAGAGAGGCAAAAATGTATAGTCGAAGTGACATCTGCACTTGTTTGTTCATTGCAGCCCTCTTTACAATAGCCAGAAACTGGAAGAAACCTGAATGCCCAAGAACAGATGACTGGTTAAAGAAACTTTGGTACATCTACACAATGGAGTACTATGTAGCTCTTAGAAAAGATGAAGTCATGAAATTTACATACAAGTGGTACAATATGGAAAGTATCATGCTAAGCGAAATGAGTCAGAAAGAGAGGGATAGACATAGAAAGATTGCATTCATCTGGGGGATATAAAGTAACAAAGTATGAGATTAATACCCAAGAATAGCTGAGATCAGCACCAGGAGGATTACTCCATAACTTAGAGGCCAGCCGGGTATCCTAGAGGAAAGGGCTATTCAGATAGAGAAGGGAGCACCAAATAAAGGATGTTTGGAGGATCCTCCCAGGAGGGGAGATGCATGTCGAAAGTAGACTATGGACTGAACATGTTTGCCACTCAATGCCTCTTTTGCAGACCACAACACCCAAAAGGAGAGAGAGAACACAGGGGATTGCCCTGCCACAGAGACGGGGGGATGGGGGGATGGGGGTGGGAGGGATATTATCCATGGTGGTGGAAAATGGGCACTGGTGGAGGGATGGGTATCTGATCATTGTATAATTGAAACCAAAGCACAAAAAATTGTAAATCTACAACTTTAAAAAAAATAAAATAAAATAAAGGGGAAAAAAAAGAAAAAAAAAAAAAAAAAAAAAGAAAAGAACACTTTATAAACACGTGGTTTACGGGGGTACAAAAGGCAGCTCGAAGGCATAAAACTGAAGTTCTTGGTAGATCCCAGAAATATGGCAGGATGAGCAGGTGGAGTTACACGAAGACTTGGGGACTGCTGAGACACAGACAAGTACTGTCCGCTCAAAGTCCATCTCTTACCTCCAGCAGGAGTTTGCACACACAACCAACAGGAAATGATAACGTGGGCTCTGCCACTGGATAGTGAACCTTCCCAAAAGTGTCACTGCACAATAATTAACCATGGGCACCTAAGTATCTTGGGGATGGGGAAAAACCTGCTCAGTTCTAGATACTTAAACATGAATAATTGTTGAAAGCAATACCAGGAAATGGGTTGGATCAGAGACTTTTTGTGAAAGAAAAAGTTCACAATTAAAAAAAGCAGTGGTTAATGGTATTTTGGGGCATATTATCATAAATTACTGAGAAAAAATAAATTCATTTTTATATTAATGACATAATGGTATAAAACTTTTTAAATTTTAATATATAGAAGTTAATGAGAAAGAAAAAACCATACCTTTTTGCTTGAAGTGCACGGTGGTACCAATTTCTAAAAAAGAAACATTTAGCAAAACAAAAACAGATAAAAAAAACAACTATCAATTAGGGATAAGCACAGAGCTAGTTTGGTACTCTCCACTGAAAGGAAAATGAGAGAAAAGGTGGAAAAGCATTCTAAGAAGAACATAGATGGGGAAAGACTGAAAAGTTAGGGATCTAGAAAGAGATTGCTCTATTGCAAAAAATGTTCAGGTGTAGAGGTGGCAAAAAAATTACAAAAGAAGAAATACAACTACAAATGCTTGATTTTATCTGTGGTGGAACATTACTGTAGACAATACAGTAATTCTGAGTATGTACTTTTTTTTTTTTTTTGCTTTTTGGGTCACACCCAGCGATGCTCAGGCATTACTCCTGGCTCATGCACTCAGGAATCGCTCCTGGCGGTGCTCGGGGGACCATATGGGATGCTGGGAATCGAACCTGTGTTGGCCATGTTGGCTGCGTGCAAGGCAAATGCCCTACTCGCTGTGCTATCGCTCCAGCCCCATGAGTATGTACTTTTGACTGCGATTTAGGGAACCAAAATATGTGTCTGATACCTCACCTTATTCTACCATTTTGCCCCTAATCTGCTCCACTCAACCTTGCTCTTCTACCACACGGCCTAGGTCAGCTTTAGAACCTCTGCATGTGCTGTTTAATCTCCTTGGTCTATTTTCTGTGGAGTTCAGTCACCTAGTGTAGATTTCTGCTAAAATGCTACCAACTCAGGAAAGTCTTCTCCCTTTATTTCTTTGTTGTGCTTAGTAATACATCAGGTGTTAATAACACATACCACTCCATGGCATCGCATTGTACATTTATTGCTCAGAGTTTTGTCTGCCTTACTCTAACATATCTATGGAGCAGTAATAGTGTATTTTGTTAATCGCTGCATCTCTAGTGACTCGGTGAGGTCTGGCACATAGAACATTTTTAAGAGCTATAATTTAATATATAAATACATGTCAGCATTTATAAGATAAATAATGTACCTTTATGTGGTCTTATCAATAAGCCACAAGAATATTACATCATTAAAAGTAAATATGCAAAATTTTGATAAAATAACTATTTGACTCTCAGGACTGTTTGGATGGCTGGTCAGATTTAGGTGCCCAAGTCTACATGGCCAGGAAATATTTTTCTATATTAAGGATATACGCTGATAATGTAATTTTTTAAAGTGGAATTTTATCAGAAAAGAAAGAAGAGAGAGCAGATTCAAGAAAAAAAGATAGGCTTCTTCAGAGAGTGGAGAGAGCTGCATGAATTAAAACAAAGAATTGCACATTCAAATTGGAGTGTGGAATATGGAATATGCTAGACTAACATGTTTTCATGAAGAAAGAAAAATGATTTCACTCTGAAGCCAGATCCCTCTTTACAATGGACTTCTAGTCATTTCACTGTACTGTTTAAAGCATGTAAATACTTTCTTGCAGATTTCAGGATAAGTACCAAAATCCTTAGCATGATTTCCATATGCTCCCTGTCACCACTATCACCACCTCTCTCCTCTTTACTGCCTGTAACATTCGTACTTAAATTTATTTACATGAATTTATCATTTGTGAAACGTTTATGTCCAGTACCATTGTTTATTTTCTCTGATATCATGTTTTCTCTGCTACATGGTCTAGGGTCCAATGTTCAAGCTACTGTAAATATCATTTATTATTTCTCATCCTTAGTTATTACTGACACAGTGAAGTCTTCCATAGACTGCTTATTATACTAAGTTCCTTTATTTGAAAAACAATGTCTGTTTTTGGACTACACCTGGTGGTGCAAAAGGCTGACTCGTGACTCTGCAATCAGGGATCACACCTGCAGGGCTCTGGAGACTATCTGGAGTCTTGGAAATCGAACCTGGGCTGGCCACATGCAAGGCAAAAGCCCTACCCACTGCACAATCTCTTCATCCTTTAAGTCATTTTCTTATAAGCAGCTATTCTTCATATCACTCATTTTCAGTTTTAATTTTAAATATATTTGTCTGAGACTTTGATTACTGCCTGTCTTCAGTCACACATTGTGAATTCCATGACTGTCCACAGTTATGGTCCATTCAATGCATGACTGACTCTTTAGTGTACAATGGCTCAGGATAGAAGGTATAGAATGCCTGAAAAAAGAGGAAATAAAAATTATACCAAGCATCCTCTTAGCAAAGGGTCAATGACTGTAAAATCAAAATTTAATAGGAGTAGCTGAACTTTTATTTTCTGGTTTAGCAAAAAAAAAAAAAAAAGGCAAACTACTCAAAATTAGATTTGCAAAGTTTCTGGAGCTCCATGCGATCTATTATCTCACTGTTATGCACCATAACAGTGAACAGTCATGGAATTCACAATGTGTGACTGAAGACAGGCAGTAATCAAAGTCTCAGACAAATGTATTTAAAATTAAAACTGAAATGAGTGATATGAAGAATAGCAGCTTATAAGAAAATGACTTAAAGGATGAAGTGATTGTGCATTGGGTAGGGCATTTGCCTTGCATGTGGCCAGTCCAGGTTCTATCTCCAAGACCCCAGATGGTCCCCAGAGCCCCGCAGGTGTGATCCCTGATTGCAGAGCCAGGAGTCAGTCCTGATTTTTCTCTTGCCCAACCACAAAAGATGGTAGAGAGAAGTGTTCAGAAGGAATACTATTCTGGGAGTTCTTACGTTGGCTTGTAGAATGTCACAATTGTCCTTCTGTCTGAAGACTTGAAAGTGTCTGGCTACAATTAAGCATTAGCAAAACTAGTGTCCACCAGATGGTTCATAAGAGCAAGACCTGCCTACAAATAAGGAAAGTGTCCTTAATTAAAGGGGAGTGTCCCTCAATTATCCCTGAAATAAAGGGGAGTCCAGTCCAGTGCAAACATCTTTTAGAATCACAATTCTGGTGGACTTCCAGATATACTTCTAAAAATTCTCAAGTCACAAGTAGTCACCCTTCTGATACATTGGTTGCAGATAATTAACAATTGCTGGAAGTCCATACAGAAAGATGAAGCTAGAATTTTGCTCATCTCCTATCAGAAGCCACTATCAGTGGCCACTTGTAGTCCAGAAGCGAATTCAGCTTCTACATCAAGAGCTAGAACGCTGCTCTATATCAGTTGACTCACTGATCTGCTCACTGACATCCCAACTGTACAGAACACTGCCATTATGTTTTCTTTTACCATTTTTGTTCTAATACCTTTTCTTTGAAATCCAAATATATACATTTTGCTTATACTCAAACAATAAATATATATTAAAGTTGTTGAAAAGACATTGTAAGGACTTCAGTGATGAACATAAATATTGCATGAAGATAGTGATTTGTAATGACAGATATCTGAAACATAAATGATGTCATATTTCACATTAATTCAATGAAAACATAAATAAATAAAGGACAAAAAGGAAGACATTGTAGAGAATGTGCTTGTTGAGGATGAGGAAATCGAAGCTTAAAGAGGCCAATCAGTTACTCCAAGGGAACAGGAAACGGAACTGAGACTGAAATGTAGGATTTTCGGTTTTCTAGCCATAAATCTGTCCACCATTGCACAATGCTCATCTGGATTTTTATAGAAGCAAACACCTTTAGGGTTGCAAGTCCAGTGATATTTAAATGAGTCATTAATTGCTGGGGTGAGTTTGACTTTGTTCTTGTATAAAACAGTTCACTTTCTTTGGTCAAGCCTTTTGACTTGTCAGTCTTTAAAGTTGACAAGGATTCCTAGAAGTCCCAGAGTAATGCTCTTTAATCAAAGGGAGATAATTCTTTGATGAGACCATCTTCACATAAAAAATATACGTGACTACTCTATTCCTAATCCACACACCTCATGGGAATAATTCCAAGTAATTCTTATGAAAACAGGGCACCAGCAGACTAAAGATTCTGCTGAAAATGCAGAAAATGCATGTTGCTCCGCATACATTATCTATATAGGGATTTTTATTAATTTTTGGTCCTATTAATGTGTGCTATAAATTAGGTAAAGTATAATATTATACCAAGAATTTGAATTTGTGATATAAATTAGGTAATGTATAACATTATATCAAGAATACTGCTAAGATATGTAAATGCTTAGTGAAAAAGAGTTGTGTCCCATCTGTGGTTAAAAAACTTTCTGAAAGAAGTATCAATAAAATATTTGTTAAAATACGTTATACATATTTTAACAAGCAAACTGTGTAAGCAATGCAGATTTACACGATAAATTTAATGTATTTATTAGGAAACAGAAGTCCCCCCTAATTAACGAAATGCGTCATTAAGAGAAGTATTTTAAACATTTAAAATTTATTTGGGCTTTTGGGCAACATCTGGAGGCTCTTGGGGCTTACTCTTGGTTCTGTGCTCGGGGGTCGCTCCTGGCGGTGCTAGCGGCTGAATCACGAGCTTTTAGAAACAAGTCAGTGCCTGCACCTCCTGTCTTATATCTCTGGCCCCCAAAGAGGCATTTTCTTCCGCAACTAGTTTATTCCATTAAGAAAATATTCTTAAAAACCAGATAATAGATTGAAGGGATAGTACAGTGAGAACGATGCTTGCTTTGCATGCAGACGACCCAGGTTGGATCTCTGCAACCATAGTTAATTCTCTGAGCCCAGTCAGGAATGATCACTGATCAGGAGTGACCTGGAGGTCAAGGGCAAGGATAAGTCCTGAGGTACTGCCAGGTATGGCCCAAATCAGACACACAAATACACACGCACACAAACACAAAGAGCAGATTAAAATGTACAGTTTACTAAAATGTTTTGAAAAACCAAACTAGTTTACCACTTAAATTTTAGAAAATTCTTCCTATTGTCAAAATTAAACCTATGTGAAATAATAATGATCTGAATTTAATATTCTATGTCCTTTAAAAAACAAAATGTAGCGCTTAACAATTTCCTTTTACCTACTTTTGTTGGAAAAGAATATATTTTTTTGAGGAGCAAATCGCAAATCTTGATTTTTTTTCTTTTTTTTTAAATTTTGAACCTGGCTCTTTGAAAACTTGGTT